CAATAATATAAATAAATAAAGATAAAATACCCACATAAATTTGTAGACATTTTTTTTTATCTATTTATAACTTATAGCCATTACAATTTAATACCTTCAAATTGATTCAATGTCTATAAAAAGAAAGCTGTAGGCGCAAACGGGATTAGTTAACTTTCAAATCCTTTAGAATGCTGGAAAAATCTTTCAAGATTTTTTTTCATGAAATTCAAAAGATGGTCAAATTCAAATTCCTTCCAAAAGTTCGCAATAGTAATTTTTATGTTGTAATGCGCTTTACACGTTCTGTTTGTATTCGTAAGAAGTTCTTCTAATTGTAGGTATGGCTATAACTTAAGTAGGCAATGAAAACATCTACTTGAAAAGACCTTAAAGGTAGTAGAAGGCATGACTTATCCATTTAAAAATGTCACATTTAAAGATTGTCCGTGTACAAAACATTACAAACATAATGGCATTTAAATATAATCAGAAATTCAAAGACAAATTACAAAACAAACTAAATATACGTACACGTATATTTTTCCAGTTTATATAAATAACGAAGTTATAAAATGTGTTATGTAATTTTGTTAATAAAATATTTGGTTTTCGTGTGTTTTTATTCAATAAAATGTGTATTTAGTGTAATTAATTTATGTAATTAACAAATGAAATATAAAACGGAAAAAGGTTTTCCATCAACAGTTTGAAAACAGATGTGAAAAAAAATGTATTTGAACACGTGGCGAATAGTTATTTAACTGTGGCGAATCGTTATTACTCTGTGTCGAATCGTTATGTGGCGAATCGTTAGTGTGGCGAATCGTTACATTACCATGCAGTGCCAGGGCTATCGGACAATTACCGGAATCGGTCTGTTTTCCCCACCAATATTTCAACGTTTAAAAAATACCTTGAATCATTTTATTAAATACAAACAATTTAAACGATTTTTATAATGTTTATTGAAATCTGTATTAAATAAGAAGCAAAAGATTTATGAAAAATCGCTGTTATAAATATGATAAAAAGATTAGTATTGAAGATCGGGGAAAAACAGGAAACCTGTCGGAATAGGCGATGGATTACCGGAATCGACCTGTAATTTGGTTATTTGTGAACTTTTTAAATATTTCTTGTGCATGTTTTTATAAGATATAAACATTTTCAACGATATTCATTTTTGTAAATAAATTCGCTTTTGATTAATAAAACAAGAGACCTAAGATCGGCGAATTACTGTCATACTGCCGATATAGGGGAAGGATGGGCGGAATCAGCAGGTGTAATATAGTTATTTTTATGTTATTTCATTGAATGCAAATAATATCATTGATATACAAATTTTTTTTAGAAATAAAGATCACTTTTTTACTATAAACTAGATATCTAAGATAGGCTAATTACTATCACAGTGCCTGAATTAACAGGGAAATACCGGAATTAGTCTGCTATTTTGTTATATTTCAGCGTTTTAAAAATATCTTGCCATATTTTATTAAATACAAACAATTCAAATGATATTTAATAATATTTATTGTAATCTCTATTACATAATAAACAAGGTGATCTATGATTTCTTCCATGCTACCGAATCGACGAGCGATTACCGGAATCGGCTTCACTTCGTCTGGGATTACTGGAATCGGTTCTAATTTTGTTATGAATGTGAACTCAATATTATTATTATCATTTATTTTTGCATGTATTTACAAACATAATCATTGATCGTTTATGGAATAATGCAATATCGTCTTTACATTATATTTTTCAGGACATTGCTAACAGAGGAGTGTTTGAAATGACGGATAACAATAGGTCAGTTTAGTCTTTCTTTATGTTTGCATAACTCAATTCTTTATTTCATAAAGTAGTAGATTTATAATTACATGCAATAATTTTTATTTAAATCTTTATTTAAACAAAACAAACCTCATAAAATATTCGCATGAAATCAATGTTTTACCAGGCAGTTAAATCGTACTTACTCGACAGTTCAAGGTCATTCTGGATATCAAATCAATTGTCGTCATTTGCGTTATTGGTGCTTTTTTATAGTTTCACCATAAAAATATTACAAAGATTGCGAATTAGTCAATCGTTGAACTTGAAACATAGATTCTTTAGTCTTAAATAGTAAACAAATCATCTATACCCGTAACGTATAAAACAGTGAGATATGGATGTTAACTATATACGCACAGATGTTACTGTCACAACGAGCTGTGTATTGGGAAGTGTGATATACTACAAAACAGTGGGGTGCCAATATACGGTATGCTGATATATTTCATAGTTGGAGGGGGGGCTGTCTGTTAGAGAATGCCTGTTGTTAAGCAAGCTGTAGATGAATTAAGTCACAGGATTTATTGAACTTCAAAATTTTTAAAGGCTTAAGATTTAGTCAGTGTAAAAACAAAACAACAATATACACACCCTGTATAGATGTAAAGATTCTTTTCTAGAGCTAGAGAACATGTACACCCAATCATTTTTATTGTTCTTTCTTACCTAAAATCATTTTTAAAGCCAAGTACTATATATGTGTGAGTTTTGTTACTTCTATCTAACTGATAGTCATTCTTGTAAAATAAGTTATTGTAATTTATTGCATATATGTCTTATTTTTGGCAATAAAATATGTTTAAATCAAAGATTCTTTTCAAAGTTTAGCATAATTTCTTACCATTTGACCCATTTAATTATTAATAAAAAATGGAAGAAGATCCTTAAAGTAAAGGATTATGATAAATAGTTAGGAGTTCCGTATTGAAAAAGTTAGAATGATTGTCAAAAGGACAAGGTTCACAAACAGGGCTTTTTAGCCCAGTAATTTTACAAATGCAAAACCATGAAATATAAACGACATCCTACATATTTTAAAAGAAATGGCCTATATTCTAACAAAAAATCACAAAATATCACAGTAAATCGTATTTTAATGTCTAGAAAACACAACTTATTAACCATGCATAATTGTCAAAATAGCGAAATTCAGAACGTTCACTGTCGTATTTTCTTAAAATAACATATGAAGAGCCACAAGCGACACAAAGTCCTTTTCAGGTAATGATACTAAATATATACTAAAGCTGTGGCCGAAATATGGTGGTGTCGGGTTTGGCTCTTCATATCTAAAAATAATGTTTTCCGACATTTGCTGTTGCTATGGAAATTCGGTCTTAGCTGATAATTCCCATAATATTTGGCATGAAAACAATATGTTTGCTTTAAAAAATCTTATCTAAACTAATTACTCATGTAGACCTTTAATAAAATTATATAAACTTAGACAGCAACTGATTTATAACATATTTTACGTGTTTTTATTTCTAATCATTATCCGAACTTGTCCTGCCCGAATACGTGGTTGATCAGAAAAAAATGGTATCCGTTTGTGGAAAACATTTGTTTATGTCTTGCTAATAAATAAATACTAAAGACAATATAGCACATTACATTTATGTTTAACCCGCTTCTCGTAAGAAACAGAAAAATGCGTACGAACGCCAACTTTTGGTTCGAGAATTGACCGCTACTGTATTCAAGGGAATTAACTCGACATTGAATCTGAAACTGAAAGTAGACTGCTATTGTTTTTCTCTCTGATCGTTTTCCAACGCTTTTCAGCGATGTAGGTGCCAAAACTGGAAACGAAAGGTAAAAACGTTTGTATAATTATATTTTGTGACGATAATACTTTTAAATTCAATTTCTGTATCGAATCAAAATGTTTATTTCGACCTGTCATTTTGTGTTGTTACGGACGCAGACGTCAACATGTCAACTTTTTAAAATTATAGAAGAACAGTGATAAATCAATAGTGAAATTAAAATATTTGGTAATGAATTGAAATATTTAAAAAGTTTTACAGAAAAGAGCCTTAAAGTATCGTTTTAAAAGGAGCAACAGAGTGATAATGTTTTTTAAGTGTATTAATATTTGTTTTGCAGATGGTAAAGTCAAGGTACTCTATAGCCTAGTGGATGTAATCTGTGGCTGTCACCCGATAGGCCGGAGTTCAAAACCAGGTTGCTACCTTTTTTTTTTTCTTTTTTTTTTCAACAACTTTCTTTAGATAATGTCTTACTCATTTGTTTTATTTTCTTTGAATTTTAAAGTGTTTTTTTTTAAAATATTAAAAAAATGTGATAAATATAAAAAAAAAATGATTGTTAAAAGATAGACTTATCACAAATACTGGTATGGTTGCAAAAAGTTTGTTCAGTTTAAGACTGGAAAACACAAAATGATATAGGATTAATTTAAGATACTCTGCAGTGATAATTAACTTTAATAATTTAATAAAATATAAGGCATATTTTTATGATTCATCTTTTTTTCTAGGATGCCTCAAAAGATATGTGTGCTGTGCAGAAAAAAGCTAAAACTGCATCAAAGAAGACCTGTCAACAAAAATATAGCTAAATATTTACGGAAATTCTATTTGATGCAAACAACCAATTTGGATTTTATTTGTGGAGGTTGCAGCAAAAAAGTGTATCCAGGTTCTAGTGCACAGCCAAAGTCATCTGTTTCAGACACATCAAGAAAATCTACTGAAAATCAGACAGCAACAGCATCAACATCTACAGCCTGTAAAAGTCCACCATCCATTCAGCTTCCCATTAAATCTACATCCAAAAGCCATTCCTACTGTTTTATTTGTAAAAAGCCAGGTCCCAAAATCATAGTTGTACCAGCAAATATAAGATATTCAGTATTCATTGAACATGGAATTATTATCACAGCTGAAAGCAGATGTTGTACTTCTCATTTCAATCACAACTTAAACGAATTTAATAAAGAAGAACTAGTGAACATGAAAACAAAAGAACAATCATTTTTGAACAGAACTACTATTACTGAATTCATCAATAAAACAAGAGAAATTGCCTTAAAATCTTCAAACAAGAGAATGTCATTTGACAGTATGCATACCTATACAGATGAAGATTTAATCAACTTAACAGGCCTAAACAAAGAACAATTTCTTGATTTATACCAGCATGTTGAATCTTCAATAAAAAACACTCCAGCAAGAACCTCCATAACAACACTTGGTATTTTCCTCTTTAAAATGAAATGTGGACTTTCAAACAAAATATTATCAACAATATTCAATATAACAAAATCAAGTATAAGAAGAGCAATTCACTCAGCTAGACAAGCTCTTTGTGATATCATTGTTCCAGCCCATCTTGGATTTGAACATGTTACTAGAGAAGAAATCATTCAAAAACACACCAGAAAATTAGCACAAGACCTTCTAGCTGAAAGCAATGACCAGGCAATTCTAGTTCTTGATGGAACATATATTTACATTAACAAAAGCAACAACTTTCAATTCCAAAGGAGAAGCTTTAGTATGCACAAGCACAGACCATTAGTTAAACCCATGATAATTGTCTCTACCACTGGTTATTTTGTGAGTGTTTTAGGGCCATATTTTGCTGACTCAAAAAACAATGATGCATCCATTCTAAAACATATTTTAAACAACAACATACAAGAAATCAAATCATGGATTGACCCCAGTGACATTTGTGTAGTAGACCGTGGTTTTAGGGATGCTATTGAATTAATGAAGGAACTAGGGATACAAGCAGAAATGCCTGCCTTTATGAAAAGAACAGAAAAACAGATGACAACAGATGATGCAAATGCCAGTAGGTTTGTAACAAAGGTAATAATTTAAATAATCAACTACATATATAGTAAATTATTATTATCAATTTCAGATTTAAATGCACAGCTTTTAATTGAAAATTATTTTATGTTCAATTCTTACATATGAAATATTGAACATTTCTAAAGTAAAAGAAGATAAATTACATTGCATAATATTATCAACTTAATATAAGTTCATATATTTTCATGTATACTTTATCAACTTTTCATTTTAACAGCATATCATTCACTTAATACATACATTATTGGATGTATTTTAATAATATTGAACATTTTCAGCTGGTCATTTCATAATTAAACATTTAGGATTATAAAATATTATTATTTTAAATAAAACCAATTTAATTAAAATGCATTTAACATCTATTGTTGACCAGACTGTGCTGTAGATTATCATATTTCTTCTTGATACCTTATCTCTCATTAAATATGATGTACTGTAATACTGTATTTTTATTCAATATAATGTAGATAGTTTACTGCAAGATTAGCATACAAATGTTCATAGTAATTATTCTTTCTTTTATTTAATCACAGAAATATTGCCTGATTAATTAAGTTAATTATAACAAGAACATAAAAAACTTTAATCTTCAATTATTTTTCCTAAGATTAATTAGTTTATTAATTAAAATCAAAAGAAAAACAAACCAGAAACACTTCTCAGACTACTGATTATAGAATACTTACCTCAGGTGACCCTCAAATTCTTTGAAATTGTAACAGTAGGTCACATTCTGGTGAAGGGGACATAATTGAGAAGTAATATAACATGGCTACAGTTATTTAATATTTCATTATGTAACAAGTATAATGTAATAATGAAAAATATTTCTTGGTTATCAGAATTCAACTTTTATTCAATCCTTTACTTGTACATTGTACTATACATCTTAAATTGGATATTCTAACTGTATTATTACACATGTTTTGCAATTATATTTAATTGTGCTTCAGGTGAGATGGGTGGTAGAGGCTGCAAATGCAAGGATCAAAAGGTGGAAGTATCTTTCACATGTTCTTCCAACAAACCAAGTGCCATACATAGGTGATTATGTAAGCATAATTTGTGCCTTATGTAATAAGTACCTGCCACCTATCAACCAAACCCAAGAACTTGACTCAACTTTAGCAAGCCAGATGCGGGATAGATTGTCAGGCAATCTTTGTCTTCAAGATTTTGTGGAAGAACATGATCTTGCTAGGAGAAGTGTAGCCCATTGGACAACTACTGAATCATTGACAGATTTTCCAAAACTGTCAGAAACTATATTGAGAATTTTAACTCTTGGTACTTACCAGTTAAAACTGAGCTCAAGCTATGTACAGGAATATATTAGTGGTACTTGTGACTTTCACTTGCACAAGGAAATTCCGGGCCTTCTAAGAGTTAGACTTCAGAGCCGCCATATAGCATCAAAATCATATCTTGTGTGGTTAAAATATGATGAAGACCATGTAATTGCATGGTATTGCAAATGTAGGGCTGGGGCTAGGACAGTTGGTACTTGCTCTCATGTTGCTGCAGTCATATGGTACCTGGGCATGGCTGTCCATACAGCTGAAACAAGCTTTGGTGTGAAAGACTGGGGTGAGTATTTGGAGGATGCTTCAGCTAATCCAGAATCAATAGACTCTTCAGATTCAGAAGAAAGTATAGTTGAGGAATAGCTTCCTCTCATATAGTGGTTGATATATTGTTATATCCAAATGCAATTGTTCTATTTTCAAATTCTGTACAAACAAAAGTTTTTTCAATAAAGTGATTCTGCTTGGTTATATATTTTATAAATATGTCTAACAGGTTATATGGCCATGCATGATTGATTGTTTGCAATATAACCCACCCCTAGCGGCTCATGTTATATAATCTAATGACTGTTTATATTGAACTATGTGGATAGCCTGTCAGACGTTCTTGTAACTAACATTATCCTGTTTCAATCAGCGTGTCATACTCTCTTAGAATATGTAAATATTGAACTAAATCTTTAACCATTAAGTAAATAAGTGTATATGAAGTCAGCATTAATTCCATTCAATATGTCACCCAGTTGTGCCAGATCTGACAGGTTTAAATACAGTAATGCTGACTAATATATTTATAGATAAATAAATGTAAATTAATATATACTGTAAATTCTAATTGTATGTTTTGATGTACATATAAGTAATTATATATAATGTTATATTGCTTCAGTGATGTTAATCTTAACTTGTACATCTGTATAAAAGTGCAGGATATTAATTTACCGGTACTGTATAAATGAGCCGTTTCACGACAAAACGAACATAATGGGTTTGCGACCAGCATGGATCCAGACCAGCCTGCGCACCCGTGCAGTCTGATCAGGTTCCATGCTGTTCGCTTACCAACCCTATTACAAATAGAGAAACTGATAGCGAACAGCATGGATCCTGATCAGACTGTGCCGACGCGCAGGCTGGTCTGGATCCATGCTGGTCGCAAACGCACTTTGTTGGTTTTGTCATGACACGGCTCAAATCATTTAAATTGTCATTGGAAGCATTTAAACTATTTACTGTAATTACAATGTATCATGTTTATCTGTCCAATATACTTAATCAATGCTCATTAATGCTACTGGTTTATTTATATATTAACTGAGTTACTTTTATTGTCTAATTCTTAGAACATTATGTACCCTTTATCTTTCAATTGCTTCAAACATGCATCTCACCAAAGCCAATCAAACAGTGTTGCTATAGAAACAAGAAAATTTCCATGCCCTATAAAAGTAAAAACTTTCTGAAATTTAAATGTATACCGTAATTCATTAACACCCAAAATGTTAAAAATGTAACACATGCAAACTGTCTCTTCATACAGCTTTTTTTGTTTAAAATGAAACTAGTTTATGTTTCCATGGCAACACTGAAAACAATACATTCACATTCTTAATCTTTGCACTATCACTGTAGTAGAGGCTTACATATAAAAGAAATATAGATTGCAAGTATTTGTAAAATTCTGTGACTCTAGTTGCAGAATCACAATATGTGAAAATTGGTGACGTTGCCATGGAATTTTAAATTAAATTTATGTAGAAAATTTATTTTTTTAATGTTCATTTTTTTAAATGTTGACATTATCTGTTTTATATCTAGAGAGATGTTAAGTTTGTGTGTTTGAGACTGTTATCTAGCTATTTGCCAATGTTATAAGGAATTAACTTGTTAGAAATATAAAAAATGGTGCATTTAACTTGGTTGCTATGGTAACCTAATAAATAGAAAAAATGGCTTAGTTGTTCTTGTTTCTTTTTCAACACATAAATATTAATCTTTGCTGAAATTTTGATGAATTTCTGAAACAGGGCATTTTTTCACCCAAAGTGAACCTAGCCCTTTGTCTGAAAATGAAGTCTCGCATTTTTTTACCTTTACAGTTTAAAGGATCCCCACTGAGAAAAAGAGTGATCAAATGATCTGATCCAAAGTTCATAACTTATTTATTAAACATGAGTTCTAAGATCAGCGAATAACTGCCAACTTGAGTATCTGCCATACTGTCGGAATTGGGGAATGATTACCGGAATCGGCATGTAATTATGTTATTCATGAACTTTAAAAAAAAAAATCTTGCATCTTTTATAAAATATAAACAATTAATAACATGTAATAAGATTTTTTATAAAAAAAAAACACATTTGATTCATTAAACAAGAGATTTAATTATGATCAGCAAGTTTCTGTCATACTGCCGGAATCGGGGAATTATAACCGGAATCGGCCTGTATTTTCTATACAGGGTGTTTATATTGTTGTTTTGTTTTTACATTGACTAAATCTTAAGTCTTTAAAAAAGTTGAAGTTCAATAAATCCTATGACTTAATTCATCTACAGCTTGCTGAACAACAGGCATTCTCTAACAGATAGTCCCTTCTACTATGAAATATATCAGCATACCGTATATTGGCACCCCACTGTTTTGTAGTATATCACACTTCCCAATACACAGCTCCCAATATACAGCTCGTTAACTTCCAATGAAGTGACAGTAACATCTGTGCGTATATAGTTAACATCCATATCTCACTGTTTTATACGTTACGGGTATAGATGATTTGTTTACTATTTAAGACTAAAGAATCTGTTTTTCAACGATTGACTAATTCGCAATCTTTGTAATATTTTTATGGTGCACCAATAACGCAAATGACGACAATTGATTTGATACTCCAGAATGACCATGAACTGTCAAGTAAGTACGATTTAACTGCCTGGTAAAACATTGATTTCGTGTAAATATTTTATGAGGTTTGTATTGTTTAAATAAAGAATCAAATAAAAATTATTGTATGTAATCATAAATCGAATACTTTATGAAATAAAGAATTGAGTTATGCAAACATAAAGAAAGACTAAACTGACCTATTGTTATCCGTCATTTCAAACAATCCTCTGTTAGCAATGTCCTGAAAAATATAATGTAAAGACGATATTGCATTATTCCATAAAAGATCAATGATTATGTTTGTAAATACATGCAAAAATAAATGATAATAATAATATTAAGTTCACATTCATAACAAAATTAGAACCGATTGACGAAGTGAAGCCGATTCCGGTAATCGCTCGTCGATTCGGTAGTATGGAAGAAATCATGGATCACCTTGTTTATTATGTAATAGCGATTGCAATAAATATTATTAAATATCATTTCAATTGTTTGTATTGTCAAAAAATTCTTTGTATATCAATGATATTATTTGCATTCAATGAAATAACATAAAAATAACTATATTACACCTGCTGATTCCGCCCATCCTTCCCCTATATCGGCAGTATGACAGTAATTCGCCGATCTTAGGTCTCTTGTTTTATTAATCAAAAGCGAATTTATTTACAAAAATGAATATCGTTGAAAATGTTTATATCTTATAAAAACATGCAAAAGAAATATTTTAAAAAAAATTTCACAAATAACCATATTACAGGTCGATTCCGGTAATCCATCGCCTTCCCGTTTTTCCCCGATCTTCAATATTAATCTTTTTATCATATTTATAACAGCGATTTTTCATAAATCTTTTGCTTCTTATTTAATACAGATTTCAATAAACATTATAAAAATCGTTTAAATTGTTTGTATTTAATAAAATGATTCAATGTATTTTTTAAACGTTGAAATATTGGTGGGGAAAAACAGACCGATTCCGGTAATTGTCCGATAGCCCTGGCACTGCATATATGCGATATGGCAGTAATTCGACGACCTTAGATCTCTAGTTTATTATTTAATAAGGATTCTTCATTTTCAGAAATCTTTTTACATATCAATTATATTGTCTGCATTTTTTCTTGCAAAGTCCATAAATTACAATAATACAGGCCGATGCCGCTAACCATTCGCCTATTTCGGCAGTATGACAGTATACTAGTATGTAACTCGCCTTTCTTTGATCTCTTGCGTTATTAACCAAAGGCCAATTGAAATTTACAAAATAAAAGAAAGAAAGAAACTTTTAAATATCATTCATAATATTTATATTTTATAAGACGAATATTAACAATGCAACAGAAACGTTAAAAAGTACAATAGACTAAATTATACGTCGATTCCGGTAATCCTTCGCCGATTCCGACAGTATGGCAGTAACTCGCCGATATTAAATATCTTGTTTAATAAATAAAAAGTGATTTTATTGACAATAATCTGATTACATATCATTGCTATTGTTTATTTTTAATCAAGGGGGCAAAAATTTTGTATTAAGTTTAAAGATAAGCAAATTACAGGCCGATTTCGGTAATCCTTCGCCGATTCCGGCAGTTTGCCCGTTTTCGCTGATGATAAATATTTGTTTATTATTATTATTTAAAAGCGATTTTTTTCACAATCTCTAGGGAGATAAATGATAATATTTAGGGTTTATAAAAACATGCAAATGGAACATTAAAAGTCGCATAAACAACGAAATAACAGGCCGATTCCGGTCATCCCTCCCCGATACGGGCAGTTTGGCAGTAGCTCGCCGATATTAGATCTCTTGTTAAATTATTTAAAAGCGATTTTATTTATAAAATCTTTTCATAAATCATTGATATTGTTTATATTTTATAAAATTGCAAGAGAAAACTTAAAAAGTTTAATTATTACAAAGTTACAGGTCGATTCCGGTAATTCACCGCCGATTCCGGTCGATTCCGGTAATTCGGCCGATTCCGGTAAGTCGTGTAACCCCAAATACATTAAAAGAAATTATCTCTGGTGAAAAAAAGACTAATTGTACAGGTATAGTATAAATATCTATTATCAAATCATGTTCGAAACAGTTACAAATAACCTTTCATTTTCCCAATATACTAAGCTTTTTATAAGTCAATTTTTGACCTTCAAGTGTGGCCTTGACCTTCAGCTGGCACAAGGGTAAGATGGCTTCTGCACATCGCCCAATTGGGGTGTACATTTGAGTAAAGTTTGAAGAAAATCCTTCCATTAGTACAGAATTTATAGAGCGGACACAACATATATTCTAGTATTGATTGTATGTAAATTTGATGGTTAGGAAACTTCCCGCCTATATGACTCAAATACTGTTGGGAAAAGGCGTAAAATGAAACAAACAAACAAACAAACAAACAGTATGTAAATTTAAAGACTTAAAAAGGGGCATAACTTTGTCAAAATGCAATACTGAGTTATGAAACTTGACCTGCATATCGTAATTGTGACACCTCATATATCTATTAAGTTTCAAGCAAATACCTGTGCTAGTTTCAGAAATATTCAAGAACATGTTAAAATCTAAGAACATTTTCTAAGTCAATTTTTGACCTTGACCTTTAGACTGCACAAAGGTGACATGGATTCTGCACATAACCTTGTTTAGGTGAACATTTGAGTAAAGTTTGAAGAAAATTCTTCCATTAGTATAGGATTCATAGAGCGGACACGACATATTGTCTAATATGTGATTGTATGTAAATTTGAAGATTAAAAAGGGGCATAACTTTGTTTAAATGCAATACAGAGTTATGAAACTTGACCAGCATATCTTAATTGTGACATTTCATTTATATTTTAAGTTTCAAGCAAATACCTTTCCTAGATTCAGAAATAGTCAGATATATGTTAAAATTTAAGAACATTTTCTAAGTCAAATTTTGACCTTCAAGTGTGACCTTGACCTTAAGCCGGCAAAAGGGTGACATGGGTTCTGCACATCCCCTTGTTGAGGCGAACATTTGAGCCAAGTTTGAAGAAAATCTCTCAATAAGTGTAGGACTTACAGAGCGGACACGACATACTGCGTATTATTTGATTGTTTGATATTTGACCTTCAATTTTGACCTTGACCTTAAGCCGGCA